TAAACAAATCCGAATTGCACTATGAACATTTTACGGGCGACAAAATCGTCCATCCTAGCGATTAATTAGCATAACTATGAATGATAATGCGCATACGCAGAAATGTCGTACATTGCACAATAGGGTGGTCTAAAAATGTATGTGAAAAAGTAAAGTAGCAAGTTTAATGTTCTCACCCCCCGGGGTGATGGGGACAACCTTATCAAAAAATATTTACGAAACAAAAATACATATACATAATATACATGGAAAACTGTGAGCGCTTTGAGCGACCTCAAAATATTTTTTGATCTCAAAATAAAAAAAAAATGTAGCATGTTTTTTCCGGTATAGACAATGCTAGGGGTGAGAGCATCAAAATTTCGACTTTTCTTTTTTTTTTTTTTGACCACAATAGTGCACAGGTCTATTCTGCACGTTACAGATGATTTTGCAACCGGACCGTTACCACTTCTTATCACCGCTATTCTAGGTATATTGATGTGAAGCAGTGAAAATACGCAGCAATTCAGCTACGAAGATTTGTAGAAATTCTGGTACTGCATATTTCACGGGGCAATTTTTTGTTACCAGCTTATGAGATGATAACAAAATTTTGAAAATTATATAAAAAATTTTTGATTTCAAAATAAAAAAATAGGGGTATATTTTTCTCGGTATAGAACAATTTTAGGGGGTGAGAGCATAGAAATTCTGACTTTACTTTTTCGTATGCATTTTTGGACCACCCTAATGTGTACACATCAATTATAACACTATTAATATATACATACATACACAGTTCGGCAATATCTGGGGTTTTGGACCGAGGCAAAGAGCTCGGGTCCATACCAAAGCAACAGTAGAGATGGGTGAAGGCAGCCTTGGTGATGTTCTGCTGCAGAACCCCGGAACCCAATATCGGTGGCGCTGTACATGGCCGCCGTTGCAAAGACAGGCTTCGCCTATTCTGTGGCTAGGTTGGAGGTTGTGAACTGTAAGGACATTCCAGTCAGACCCAGAGCAATGGCATGGGTTCCCTCGACAACTTCTGCACCGGAGAGCATTCTAAATATGCTTAAAGTGATGAATCCAGCTCTTATGACGAGTGATTGGAGGGGTGGAGGATGGTGGTGGCCCTTCAAGACAAGTGGTTTTATCCCTAAATAAGATGTGACTTCAGCTCCTGGAGAGGAGGTCAAGTGTTGTATGGCCCCGATGAGGCCATACTTAGAGTGTATCGTAGGGACGCTCGTCGCGCTGAGAGCAACGACTCATCACAATCGAACTATGCATCGACAATGCATACGGTGTTTGCGGAGGAGGAACTGGTTTACAGAGACGGGGAGTGCAGATCAACCTCCACAGGTCTAAAGCAGCCTCGGCTGCTCTTCTATGTCGTCTGTCCAAAGGCGATGTTGGTTTGGCACTAATCCAATGACCGTGGGCTTTCAACTGATGGGTCTATGGATTGGGTGCCACGGGTTTCGAACTGTTCGCAGAGCGTGGTAAGGTAAAATTAGAGCCTACATTTTGACAAAAGTGGATTTAAAAATCTTCATCCATCCATCTTGCTGGTTTCGGCCTACATGCCCTACGACTCGGAGCACCCTCCTCAATCAACAGTGCAGAACTTGGTGACCAAGCTTCGCAAAGCTTGAAAGAAGCAATTCACTAAGGCCGAAAAGCTTAGCTGTGAGGTTGTATGAGAGGCAAAGAAATCTTCTTGGAGAGTTTCCTGTGGTGGTATCGAAGTTGTTTTCGAAACTGCCAGGCTATAAATCTCTCCAGATTTCCTAATCCGACATCCAGATCTCCTGGATCTCCACGGGAAAGGAAGCCTTTCCTGGGAACATGGCTTTAACTTCTATACCGTGGACATACCCATCTCCGAAGAAAGGGTTAAATGGGCAACTGCACAACTATGTAAGACACTGGAGGTGTCTGCGAAATGGCATTTGAGGTATTTTTCGTTGCATACGCCGATTACAGTGCAATCGCATTGATGGAAAAGTTTCCGCAAACGCTATGTGAGCTACTGCAGCGAACGCTTCGAGGTGTATCCAAGTTGTCCACCCGCTGTGGCCTAAGCGTCAGCTCAAGCAAAATGGACCTCGTCTTCTTTACGAGAAGTTACAAAAGGACTTCGGTTAGTCCACCGGAGCTAAACAAAGTCCGGTTAAGACTTGCTACAAAAGCCAAATTTCTAGGCGTTATTTTAGCTGAACTGTATCCCTCTATACTAGTAAAAGGGCCATAGGCAAGAGATGGGGCCTCAGTCCCCGCATTTGTCGATGGATATGTATAGCAGTCGTTAGACCAATCCTCTAGTATGGAGTGGTATGGTATGTAGTAGTATGATGTATGGTATGTATGGTAGTATGGTATGGTGTAGTATGGAGTAGTATGGTGGCCGTATTAGATAAAGGTCCAGTATAAGCGGAACGCTCAGATCCACGCCAAACGATGGGCTGAATGCTTTTTTTTAGCTCGCTGCTCTTTGCTTAAGAGAGGCATCACCCTACCAACCTGAAGACCAGGGACACTCTTGTATATTAAATAAATTTTGCTTCAATCCGAACAGCACAGACCGCTGCGCTTCAATATCGGTTCCGGAAAGCAACTTTAGCACAAGAATCCCAAGCAGGGAGGAATGGAAGAAGATTTTAACACCACCTGATGGTATTGACATCTACACAGCTGGCTCGAAACTCGACGGTAAGATAGGAGGGGGCATTTTCACACGAAACCCTCCTGAAGTTTCAGCTATCGTGGAGGCTGCTGAGAATCTTGGCACCGAAATTACGGGAAGGGACATCTTCATTTTTAGTGACAGCCAGGCTGCAATCAAACCTCTGAGCTCTTTCGCGTTTTATTGAAAGACTGAGCTGGACTGCTACCTATCTCTATAGCAGATGGCCAAGCAGAACATACTACACCTCACTTGGGTCTCTCGTCAAAGGGGCATGCAAGGGCAACTGCATGGCAGATGAACTTGCAAGGCAAGGCACAACCAAGCAGATTCTTCTTAGTAAATAACACATTCGTATGTTTGAAAACCAATTTAAGCAGCCGGATTCCAACATTCGCAGTCGCTAATTTTGATCGCCAAAAATCTGCAAACGAATAGCAAGTGCGCCTAAAAACATGCAACAGCTATTTGCTTGTCCTTAATGCTGCCCGTTGAGAAATCAACAATTTTCCGTAGTATGTTTACGTGCACATTTTTTAGAGTGCCTACAGCATTACGCTTTCTTTCCAAAATATATATTTTGCTCCCAGATGAGTCTTCGCGTGTTGGGTATTAAAAATTTATTTACCGCCAAGATATTTCCGTAC